GCTGGAGTGTGTGCTGGGCCTGCCTGCCCTCGCTGCTGGGGATATTTGGAAAACCCATCGTCGTCCGGCAATGTTTATTTCTATCTGATGAAGATGCAGTTCCCGTGTGTTCCTGCCACGGCCGCGTCCCCGCTGCTCGCGCCATGCTCTGTGCTGGGAGATGCTATCTCGCCTCTCCGCCTCAGCAGTTGTACATGCAAACAAGGCATGGTCAGTTTGGAAACACGTTCAAGGCTATTTAGAAAAAAAAAAAAAGGAAATAAATTCAGTGTACAAGGCTGCATGTTTATAGATTAAGCTGCTCAAAGCATTTTAACAGATGGGATGGTTTAAAATTTCCGTGCAGGCTTGTTATCTGAATCAGCGCAGCTCATGACGGGGGATTGAAGGTTCAATCCAGCTTTGGCTGGAGCCAGTGGCAGGGACATGGGAACATGCAAGAGGACATGGGGCTCGTGTCTGAAGTGAACAGCCGTGCTTGTAGCCAAACGTGGGTCTGGCACCTTGGGGTGAGCCATAGACCTTGGTCCAGGCACGGGCCACGCAACTCCACTGACGCGAAGCTGGTTATTGTAACATTGTGTTTGAAAATGTCATGCACAGATGATGCCGTTTTAAAGGCAACATTTACTACTGATAACATCATGGTATCTCAGAAATGGCAGTGCTTGAAATGACTGGGCAGGGTTCTGGGTCATCCAAGTTCATCTGCAAGTGCTTACTCAGCTCATGGCTCAGCATCTTCTCGAGCATCATGGCCAGGGGCATTTCAGATGCAGTGTCGTGAAGGTGCTGTAAAACCACCGGCCGCCTTCCCCGAAGGGCACAGTGTGTGACCGAAAGCTCTGCTCCGGGGATGCCCAGCGGATGGCGGGTTGGGCTGGGTGAGCTGGGATGCAGCTGGTGGGTTGTTCTGCTGCAACCGATTGTGTAATTTTAACCTGGAAAATGTACTCAGATCTAAGAGTGAAGGAGGTGGAAATTGTGTTTGTTATGTTGGACTGGGAGTGTGAGAAAGATGCATCTTGTTACGTGAGCGTGGTGAATTGCTTAATGAATTAATCTCATTGGAGCAGGCAGGCACAGACGGTAAAGCAGCAAACAGCTTCTCCGCACTCTGTCTGGGGGCAGTTGTGCTCCCTTTGGGTAGCGCGTGCCATCTGTTCCCAAGATAGAAACTCTCTTGGTGGGTTATGAGAAGTTTGAGTTTTTTCTCATCCATGGTTGCTCTTGGTTTTTTGGGTGTGTTGTGAAATCTGGGCTGTTTGGTGAAATTAACTATTGACAAACAAGCACTTGGTTGCAAAACTGTCATTCCTCCTCCATGGAAATATTTGCATGTGGCAGGAGCTCAACAGACTCTCTTCGCTTCCTTAAAGAGCCCTTCTGAAACGAAGCTAAATTCTTCCTGCAGCCGAAAGAGAGATACTGAGGTTGTTTTCTCTCCCCTGCGCCACGGGGAGCAGCGCTGACCTTGGCCTTCGAGCCGCGCGCCGGGGCTGGAATCTGCCCGACGTCACCGCGGCCAGTTGTGTCTGCCCGCGCCCGCTATCTGCTGCTTGGGGTTCCGAGGCCGGGGGACACTTGCCCTGTGTTGTGCAAACTACGGCCGCCTATCCTGGAGCCCCCGCGGTGCTCTTGGGGCTCCTGCGGCTGCTGGGTGGGTGCATCAGCAGGTACCGACGGAGCGAAAACTGCCGCTCGGAGGAAGGCTTTGAGCCACTGTGGAGCCGTCCCTCGGGTCTCTTGCAAGGGGCTGCAAACGCTGCTGGTCACCGGGACCCCAGTGCAGGCGGGGGTCTGGGGCTCTGCCTAGAAAGCTGCCGGTCTGCT